GTGATGTTATGGTAACGTGACATTATATAATGTTTGGGTTACATGACAGTATGTGATGTCAGGGTGTCTTGACATTATATAATGTTTGGGTTATATGACAGTGTGTGATGTTTGGGTGACATGACATTCTATAATAATTGGTTTACATGAGAGTATATGATGTCAGGATGACATGGCATTATATAATAATTGGGTTACATGACAGTATATGATGTCAGGATGACATGACATTATATAATGATTGTGTGACATGACAGTATGTGATGTTATGGTAACGTGACATTATATAACGATTGGGTCACACGACAGTATGTGATGTTAGGGTGACATGACATTATATAATGTTTGGGTTACATAACAGTATGTGATGTCAGGGTGTCTTGACATTATATAATGTTTGGGTTATATGACAGTGTGTGATGTTTGGGTGACATGACATTATATAATTATTGGGTTACATGAGAGTATGTGATGTAAAGTTGACATGACATTACATAATGATTGGGTGACATGACAGTATGTGATGTAAGGGTGACATGACATTATATAATGATTGTGTGACATGACAGTATGTGATGTTTTGGTTACATGGCATTATATAATGATTGGGTGACATGTTCATTGATCGGGGGAAACGACTCTGCCGAAAGGACATAAAGAGCCTGTACTAAATTGACTTCAGTGAAAACGGCAGTAACAGACTCAATGAAGAGTAAGATACAATTTATAGCCTGGAGCTATATTAGCAAGCTGTTGAAAGTAAGACATTTTAATTATTAATGGTATATACATTCTACTTAATATGTAAATAAAGTGATCAATCTCTAATTTGGGAATTATTTTTGGAAATTATTTCTTACTATCTTTTCTTACATTTTGTACTATTTCTAGATGGAGAGCATCCTGTGTCTCTTGAAGACATCCTAGTTTGTGCAATAGGGTCCAACAGAGTACCTCCACTTGGATTTGCAAAAACAATCACTATACAGTTCTACTCAACATGTGAAACTGAAAAAAAGATTCCCATCTTCATCCACATGTGATATAAGACTTTGGCTTCCTTGTGGTGTTGACATAGACAGTTTTAGTGCATTAATGAATAGAGCCTTACTTGAATTACATGGTTTTGGAAAAATGTAATTTTCATCCTTCCATGGATTATAATGAATAATTGCTAAAATTTCCCCTCTGGATAATTTGAAATTTTACCTTACTAAAATCCTTACTTACCTTACTAAAATCAAATAGTGGGCCAATTGTATTTGCACATGTTGGTGCTACTCAGTACATTTACAACTTCAGGCCTAACTTGCAGCTAACTCGTTAGCCCTCTAGTTTATGCAATATCCTATACATTAGAATTTAGTATGGTATGACTGAAAGTATTCCAATCAAGTAAGATAGTAGTAAACATGTTTATTGAACATGTTTCACTGCCTGTTTTTATTGCAAATAACCTGCACTCTGGTATTCGTACATTAGAAACTCACATTTGTATATTAAATAATGTATTCCATTATCTGATCATGATAGTTAAAAATAGATATCAAGTGTCTAAAGGCAGTCAAGTTTCTATTAAACAAGCCCATTATTTGTCAGGTATCGTACCTATACTTTGATAATGACAGAAATCAACGACTACTTTTGAAGCCAAGGTCTGGTAAAAGTCCAACCTGTCGAGCGTCTAAAACTTTCATCTGATGGCTTCAAAAATAGCTGTTAATTCCCATGTATGTACAAGTAGTTGTACAATACGTTACATCTCAAATTGATACTTCAAAGTTTTAGGCGGTGATTTTTTACTTGGACAAAGGATGCTGAACAAAACTTTTTGAACAATAGAGAAAAGTCAAATTGTAGCAGTTATATATTAATCATTTCTGATTTCAATAAGTGTGGTAAAAACTGTACAATTTCAATCTCTGCATACATCACTACATGTGCAATTTGACATATTAGTCATGTTTGGTAGTAATGAGGTTATTACAAGGATAGCTCAAAGTATGCATGAAGACAGCAGGAGTATCGACCAGCGCACAGCAAAGGTTGATGCGACAGCATACTGTCTGAGTTCATACTTTGAGGTATCCTCGTAATAACCTTATTATACATCTTTTCCTTCCAAGGATACATCATGGGAATGCCGAATTCCAAAAAAAGTTTAGTACAGAATCATCAAACCTTGTTTTGTGGAGTCGGTCAAACCCTGGTGGCAGCAATGTTTGTTTTTATTATTAGATTCCATATTTGGAATTCGCATTTTCTTATATGGTACGATTAAAATACCCCGTAAAATTATAGCACTCTGTAACTTAGTATGGCGTTACCGTGACAGATGTATAATATTATAATATGCAGCTTACTAATCGGTGGTTTGGTTTCTGATCTTTATGAGTTGGACTAGAAACTGAATTTGTAATGTTTGTTATAAACCACAAAACTGTTATGTTTATTAGTTCGAAATAAAATTTATACAATCACTGTGAATCTGCTTCTACCATTGCCTTTAACTGGCAATATAAATGCTTTCAAATTGCCTGTTCTGGTGTTTTTGGTGGTAAAAGTTTGGCGCGCTCCATTGCATGGTCAAAGTATTCATCAATCTGCTCATCCCCTACATAATTAGGTGCTTGTGCATGATGGCGAACTTGCTCTGTGGTTACCAGTTGAATCCTATCTATCCCACCTGGAAACAATTAAGTTAAACTTGTCATGAGAATCGTACTTGCTAGTTACTCCAAAATTTAACGTGGTTGATTGATAAGATTACCACATTTGTAGACAATCATCAAAAACATTGTTTGAGCACATGAACTATAATCAACTCTAGTACGCAGTCTCTATGAGCGGGGAGGGAGAGGATGTATCAGCTGGTATCTAGTGTAAGAAGGTTCCAGCGAGGTCACATCTTTTAAACTCTAAAAAAACAGACGAAAGAATGAAAAATAAAATCTAAAAAAACAGGTTTATGAATATTAGTTGCCCCTTCAAATTTCGCCAAAGCCTTACCCACATTTTACCGATATCTGCAGAATAAATCAAGAAAACTACACAAATTGACTCCATTTAGGAATTCCTAACGGTTTGCCCGAACGCACGGCACAGTTGGAGGCGTGGCTTGTTCAGCATTTTGTCAACAACCAATCACAAGACTGGTTACGAACCACACTGAGGTTACGACTCTGTTAGCCTTGCTTGGTTTGCAGTAGTGCTTAATGCATTACATTTATTTACAAATTTGGCAATCACTAAGCTATGTATCAAGTTTAATTAATATCTGCTACATGTAAGAGAAATTACGTAATTAATATGCACAAATTAAGGTATCTACATGTGTGTAGATTAATACCAATGATTTTCAAAACCTTTTAAAATTTGCTCTACATTTTGAAAAGTATGGCCAATCTAAGATAAACAAGTGAAGGTTTAAGAACAACGTTTAGAATCCATAACAAATGAACTTTGGCTTTACCACATAATTCAGGACAGTGATATAGGATATTAGCATGGTACATAAAGCTCCTTCTGATGCCTGATAGGATGATTGTTCCACTGTGTTATCACTTGATCTAATTCTATCTGTACTATTTCTAAATAGCATGGCGAATTAGACACCTAAAACAAGACAATGCAATGCGAATGTCCAAGTTCCTAGTTAAACATCAATCTACACAATAGACTACTAAAGAATCAACCTCATGGATGGAAGACTTCTGCTGTCTTTGTAGACTATCTTTCTAAAAAATGGCAATGTACTGTGTCATTAGCTAAATGTTTTGGATAACTTTAACTTGTCATATCACAAAAAGGTAGTTTATAAGGCCATTGTCATAGCAATGAATATTGAGAGCCATGCTTTGTGTTATTTACCTCATAATACAATATCATTTCCTTGATACATATTCAAACTGGGACACTTGTTTAACACAACTACAGGTTGAAATTATGGTAATAAAACTATATTTACTTGTGTAAATGATTTATAGAAGAAAACAACATTTCTTCAACCATTGATGCAAAATATTGACGCCACCATTCAGTCCAGGAGCGCAAAAGAAATTACCAAAAACATTCTATTCTCTAAATGAAGATAAAGAATTAAATAAATCAGCAACAAATTAATTTAAAATCACAAATGTTGATTGAATGTATGGTGCAAATATATCAATAAATAATAATAGTCAATGAAAATTATGTAGAGTCCTATTATTTTCTATGGTGATTATACCAACTTTTATTATTTATTACCTGATAAAAACCTCAAATTCAAATAGTGGGGATTTATAACATGTAATAATGATCAGTAATATACAATAATGTCTTAATATACAATTAAACATGTACCTTTCATTTCATCCACACAGTTGAGGTAGTAATGGGCAATAACGCTAGGGTCACTGTTTGTGCTGGCTGCCTTCACCCATAAAATCTTAAAATCTGAGTATCTGAAATTGATAAGATATTTTATTTTATATGCAATACATTATAACAAAGGCATTATTCACACAATATGTGCACATATCTGTTTGAGAATTGTTAAAAAAAACTTACCCATTTATACATCCACTTTTACATATATCATATGGCTTCAGCTTGCCATATCTATAACAAAGGATAACTACATTAGATAGTATAATGTTATGTAATATATTGTAGTCTTTCTCAAGTACTACATGTATAAGAACCATAATCTTAGAGTCATCCTAGCCAACTGCCCCTCTCTATCATATAAACTCTGTATCAATTTAGCTACAACATATGAAGTAACACTCATCCATCCATATGCCAAGTTTGATTTGGGCCCTGAAAATGAGAAAAGTATGTTAATGACACCAATATTTCAAAGTCATGTTCAGGTACATCATACAACATTGTTTCTACAGTTCAAATGTCAAGTATACATGTCTAATTTCACAGAAAGTTATACAATTTTACCACACTACGATACAATCCTCTTTTGAATTGTTTCTTTGACCTCATCTTAACACCTTCTGGGTCCAAGGCACGCATTAATTTTGCAATAGTTTGTCTACAGAGTTTAAAAAAAACACAGTATCATTATGTATATATGAAAAGCCAATGCTGCCTTATATTGCTGTCTAACTATATATTACAAACACATAGTATAATGATGTTAGTATACAGTATAATGATGTTAGCATGTAGTATTTTGATGATAGCATGTAGTATATAATGTTAGCATACAGTATAATGATGTTAGCATATTGTATAATGATGTTAGAATACAGTATAATGATGTTAGCATACAGTATAACGATGTTAGCATGTAGTATAACGATGTTAGCATACAGTATAATGATGTTAGCATACAGTATAATTATGTTAGCATACAGTATAATTATGTTAGCATGTAGCACAATGTTGGTAGATCACAGTATAATGATGTTAGCACGTAGTATAATTATGGTAGCATATAATGTGACATAACAGTCTCATAAAAATTCTTTTGGTCAGGAGGAACACACTCATTGGCAGTGATAATAATGCGGAATTGTGTTCTTCATTATTTATAAATTTTTTATTGGTACAAGTATATCAACAATAATAAAGTAATAATAATAATAATTACCTAGATACATTTAAGCTGTATTTTTGTTTCACCAAACGCCACATTGCTCTATAACCTAATTTTGATGAAGAGCCTTTAGGTTCATAATGTGAAAAAAGATGTTTCCCAAACTAACATTAATTTATTATTTATAACATTATTTAAAATAAAAATAGTTAGAAAGATTCTGAATCCATTGTAATGGTTCTGACCTAGTGTTAATCATTGAACACGCAAGTGTTCCGCTAATTATGCGTGAATTGTCACTGTAGCCAATACAATGACAACATTAACAGATTGGTCGTTGAATATATTTATTTCCCTTGTGCTGAACGCATTCACCACTAATGTTTACAGGTAGTTGTTGTTATGTTGATAATTGTTATTAAAGTTAGCTGATAGTAATAGTAGTAGAAGTTGTTGTTGTTGACAATATCAATAAATACCACAAATGCCACAATGAGTAGTAGTTACTGATTGGTTAAATGTTCACTGGTAGAATGATGAACAGCAGAATGTTCCCTTGATAAATGGCGAACCAATGAATTGTTGAATAAGTGGTAAACGAATGGTAATTGACAGTGAATGAATGAATAAATGTTCAAACTGCAAATACAGAAAAAATAACAAACACTAATAAGAATACAATGCAGAAATATCACAATAATTCAAAGGGTATAACAATTCGTAAGGAGTGCACCATGCAAAACAACAAATTGAATTAGATGGCCAAACGTGTTGCGTAGAAAACCCTTCATAAAACGAGTGGTGAACGAGAATTTCTCACTGTACTTTCAAATATATATACCTTAACTAACAATAATAAACGTTTGAAATGGTATTCTCAACTACAAAAGGTAGAACAGAGAACCTTAAACTTTGTTTACATAAGTCGTAGACGAACTTGAGATCTATTCAGCAAAACCGCACAAGTTCAAAGTCTATCACAAAGAATGTAAACTCGACAGAATTTACGCGAAATATAAACTCATATCTCGCAATAATCTTGAATAAGTCTCCTTGTAGTAGACAACTCAAATAATTAACGATTTATGTAACTAAACTTACCACGCTAGGAAATCTAGTAGAGTAATTTTGGGCTCATACCACTAATTGAATTTCCATAGACGACAATGTTAACATATGACGAGATTGCTATATGAAAATGACGAAGAAAGTTGAAAATATGGCTCAAAAATGGGAAATCAACATGCCAGTAATCAACTATATGAAAAAAACTAACATGTTGGCCAGCTCAAACTCTTGC